GTATGTACATTACCATATTCAGAACAAATAAATGGTCAAAGGAAACTCCAACTTGATGGCTTTGCATGACTCTTACATGCAGAACTGTAATATGCAGTAGAACATAAAACTACAGCACCATACAGTACACTCAGCAAACATTACCCTACTGCATAAACAAGGTGTACTGTACAAGAAAAATACATTAAGTCCTATCAACAAGATGACAAGATGTATAGAACTGTACAAAAAAAAAGGCGAGTCATAAGTCTGAGCAGAGAGTCGTTAAGTCCAAACAGCGTGCCTCAGTTCTAAGTCCAAACACCGTTTAAACAAGTAGGACATTAAACGAGGAATATTTGTACTAAGGTAACTCCTACTCCTAAGGTAACTCTTTTTCTGTCTCAGCAACCTAACTCCTTTAATTTGTTTCCTAATCTGCAGATGGAATGTTGGGTGCTTCTTTCTCTGGGCCTTTGGAAATACAAGCTACACAGGTGAAGAATACAACAGGTCCTCAGTAACTAAGCTACAGGAAGAGCCACTCACTCTGTGCCCTGTTGGAGGGACACATGAGTGTGGAGAACAGCATACAGGACCCCTGGGAGTCTAGTCTGCCCCCAAACCCTGTTCGGGGTTGGGCTGGTGGATGCAGCCAGACCGGTACAATGTCCATCTTTTCTCTTTATTGACCTCCCCAGGGAAGACGCTTCACTTTATACTCAGGTGTGCTGTGCTAAGAATAATGGGCTATAGTAAATGGAGTTCATCTTCACAGTTGACTCTGTAGCAGACACAACCAGGTGTGGCTTTGGCCTCGTCACTGGACATTGTAGGATCTGATATAGTTCTCTCCAGGACTCTATGGCACCTATTGAGTACAACTAAGGAGTTGCATGAAACCATAACAGATGCACGTAGCAGGTCCCCCTTAGTGAGAAGGCAGCTGATTCTGGCCAGATAACCCATAAGGACGACTGAACCCACCCTCTCCCAAAGGGAGGACAGCTCAGATAGACTTTCTTTTGTCAGTACAGAAAGCTCGTATTGTAATGTAAACTGAAAGAAACTATCTCACCAAAACCAAGATTGTTCATGTCCTGTGTATTTCATTTACTAGGCCAAGGACACTGTAAAGGGAAACATTCTTTCCACGTGTCTGTTACTCCTTCACTGGGAGGTTAGTCCCTGGACTGGATCCTTCCACGACACAAAAATTCTGTCCACAATTGCAAACTCCAAATTCAAATGCAACAATAGGTCCATACGAATTACAGGGAAATCTATGCTATGTGTATTGTACTCTTTTTCTTAAAGGCTTTTACACGTATGCTTTCATTATATTTATGTAGGTGTTATTTCTTTAAAACTTTATAGTATATGTGAAAGTATGAAACGTGATTTCATAGGCATACATAAACACACAGACACACCGTGAAATGATTACTATAGTCAAGCAAATTAGGCTTTTACCTTCTCTAGACATATCTAAGTATTATACATATTTGCAAATAAGGCTTTTCCCACAAAACCCTGCTCTCCAAATCTATTACAATTAGCCAAGTCATCTGGGGAATTGTAATGAATTTCTACCATGTAATATTCAATAAAATTAGCAAAGCCATTAAGTGTGCCTCTTCACCCAGCTACTCCCTAGGTAAAATGGAAACTTCTCTACTTCATCCGAAATCAGAAGGCAAGTAAAAATCAGGTAGACGAACAGGGAGGAGGCTTATCCCAAAGAAAGGGAATTTCATCAGGAGGCTAGAGACATCAGAACAAGAAAAAGGCTGAATGTGGATCACCGGGTGAACAGAGAAAATTACATTGGCTAGAGCGTGGGTGTGGGCTGCAACAGAGGCAGGGATATGCTACAGATGAGGCATTTGGGACTAGGCAGGGCCAGATGTGCTCGGTCTAAAAGGCTAGATATTACCCTGAGCATATGGCAGACAGGGGTGACACGACCTGATTGGCAAGTGGAAAGGTCCCTCTGGCCGTAGGATAGTGTGCAGGAAGGGGTCAGCACTAGTGGCAAGAGCACCAGCTCTGACTTGGTGATAGTTGAGGAGAGACATGAGGGTGACTGGACTAGGGAACTGTGGTAGTGAAAGGAAGGGAGTGTAAAACTCTACTTAGAAAGTCTTGCTGAGGCCAGTTGCCCGGGCTTTGGGATTGTCGGGCGGGTCAGAGAGGCAGTCATCAAGGATGGCTTCCAGCACCTCCAGCCTAAGCAGCAAGGCAGAAGGTGGCGTCTTTCACTGAGTTAGGCAGCACTGGAAGAAGGGCAAATGTGCAAAGGGTCGAAGTGCATGGCATCAGTTTGGGACACGCTGAGCATTGGCAGCTGCGGGACTCAACCACGTTATGACTTGAGTGCATTTGGGAAGCTGACCTAACCTCTTTGTGCCTAAGATTTCTCACCTGTTACATGGGAATAATACTAATTAGGAAACACAACTGACTGGTTTCACTCATTTACTGTAGAAGAATGTTTCACACATTATATACAGTAACATGGTGGTCTTATGGTCAGGTACTCCTCAGGTAAAACGGGAATCTCTCTCCTTGCCCATGTTGGTTTGGTTTTACACATCAGCTTTGAGAATGGTATTGTCAAGGCAGGCAGGCACGCAGGCAAGAAGGAAGGGGTAAAAAGTAAATAAATTGCAACTTGTCATATTTATTATCACTTTTGTGTAGTATAATATCTCATCAGCCTGTCTCCTACAGAAACGTACCCCTCAGATCCTCTAATCTCTTGCCTGTAGCCTGTCTCCTTCAATGGAGTAAGGTGGGCCTTTGGGACCTAAGATCTTTAACACTGTTCTCTGCCCTGGAGGTTGTCTAGAACTCCTTCAGTACCATGTGTGGGGGGATAAAGGTTGTCAGCTGGCTCAAGGGATCTATTGCTTAAAAAACTGAGCTGGATCATATGCTTCTGGAAAGGAACAGTACAGGGCTACATAGCAGGGAGGTAATGAAGTCACAGACATCCAGGTTTCAATCTGATCCACCACTTATTCCTTGTGTGACTTCTTGCAGGTGACTTAAACTCTCTGTGACAGTTACCTCATTTGTAAAACACGGGCCCTGATAGTCTTCTGGGATTATTCATTTTGGCCTTCTTTAGGCCACCAAAAAATTACCTTTTAGTATTACAAAGTGCAGTCCACGGGTAAGACACTTTCGTGATAAAAAGGGAACCTCTCAGGCACACATGAAAGCCACCTGGCTTAAGTTCACCTTTTGGCGATGTTGAACTTCACCCGTTTCCTGAAATAAGCCAAGGTACAGAAATCCCCACACATTTTCTTCTTCTGGGACACTGCTGAACACATAGGACCACGCTTCCTCATATGACCTAGATAATAAGCCTTGCCGTCTGTCCCCTCTGTCCTGACTCCCATAACACTCGCAGGTGACAGACCTTCTATTCCTTGTTCTTTGCCTCTCATGGGTGAACCACTTAGGATGGAAGTTTGTCTTGCTAAAAATAGTTGGGCACAGAGCTAAACATTCCCCGGTTCAGCGGACTGAGAGTTCCTCTGATTACAACCCTGGCGCCCACAGTAACTCTCCCCATTACAGCTTGTCTACTCCTATCTTTTATACACTAAAAACCAAAAGCAAGCCCACTTAGACCCTCTGGTCTCCACATCTGGGGCGCCCCGCTTATTGGAGAAGACCTCATAAATGACATTTTCTACTGATTCAGTTGTCTTGCCTGCTGGGCTCCTTTCGCCCAAGCACAACCAGTAAATGAACCAAAGCAAAGTCCGGGATCGGTTTTCACGTGCACGCTCCACACCAGAGCCAGCCAGCAGAACAGGAGCCAGCAGCCTCTAGGGACCCCTGGGCGGCTCCCACGATCCCCCTCCCATGACGTCACGTCCGCCGCCCAGAGTCTTTTCCCAGGGCCCGACAAACGTCGTGGCGTCCTAACCCACAGTCCAGAGGTCGCGCCAGATCGGCGAACTGCAGTGACGCGCTATCTGGAGTCAGCCTAGATGCCGGGTCTCCGCCGGGCCGAGCGGGACGGCGCGGGTCCCAAGGCGCAGCCAGAACTCTCTGGCTGAGGAAACGACCGTCATCTTCTTCCAACTGCTACGGCAGGGGCAGCAGCCAATGAAGGCCCAGCTTCTCGGAGGCGTCGCTTCCGGGTGACGAAGGCGCGGCGCGCACCCAACTTTCCCTGTGCTGCCTCTCTAGCCTCCGGAGGCGGGCTCCTTTCTGTGGTCTTCACCCATTTCCTCCGTGGCCTCGCCGTGTTTCCAGCCCTGAGGAAAGGAGACCGCACGCCCGCGACCGGCCGGCAAGACCTGCTCTGGAGAGCGAACGCGCGTGAGGCAGGCCGAGAGAGACTGAGAGAGTTTGAACCCAAGGGAGCGGGGAGAGAGGGAAAGGACGGAGGGGGAGACAGGAGAGAGAAACAGCGAGCGCCACAGAAAGAGTTCCAGAGAGCCACGGAGAGGCCGAATGAGAGACGAAGCGGGTGGGAGAGGACGCGGAGGGAGCTGGAGCTTCAGGCAGCCAAGAGGGAGAGAAAGGGAGAAAGAACCGCCCTAGAACAGGGCAGGCGAGAGGAGGAGACCGGAGTAGGGGACGGGCCCCGAGAGAATCTCCTAGACCAGGGCAAGTGTGCGTCTGGGACCAGAATGGCCCCTTGGCCAAGGGTGAAGGGCGCTCCGAGAGGATGGTTGCTTTTCTTGGACAGCCCGTCGCTTCGCTATCAGAATGGCGTCTGGACAATCTGCGCGTTGCGTACTCTTCTTTCTGTAGCGGGAGAACGGCTGTCTTTAAGAGGGGAAATAGGAATGAAACTTCCTGTGGGCATCGTTTAGCGGCAGCCGGGGTGTCTTTGGGCCCAAATTCGTGTTTGGTTCAGAAATAACCTGTTCCTTTGCCACCGCCTCCCTCCTCGCCTCATCTCCCACCTCACAATGTGAGACTCGAGTGTTTTCGAGGAAGGCGACATTTCCAAAATGGAAACATCAGCGAAACGCTTCCCGAGGGTCAGTGGTCAGGATGTGACTTAGGCATGAGTACATATGCTTTTCGTGGGCTCTGTGGTTCCTGCATTAGCGTGCAAGTATGGACCACTGTCAAGTAACTGCAGGCTGAAGTGTGTGGTAGTCAGGGAAGAAAGGCATCTTTGGTTTTCCCCTTTGCTTGAGTACAGCAGTGGACCCCAGTGGGTTCAGAAATGTGGTGTTAGGATTGGTCACAGCTTTCCAATGGCATTTCCAGTACCATCTCCCTAGATGCACACAGCCTTCTGGGAGGTATTGGATTTGTGTGTTGACCAGTGTGTATCAGGATTGTTTTACTTCACTTGTCCAAAAAGGCCAAGTGAATGGCTTCGCTCGGATAAGCCTGATAAGCCCTTAAGTGTACCTACCAGCATGGAGAGAAAGGCCAGAGGAAGGATTTCTGTATTTGAAGGAGCAGAATTTCAACGGCTCCCAGTCAAAGGGGCAGTCAGTGTCTCTTAGCCTGGACCATGTTGGCATTGGAGACAGTGTTTGGGGTATAATTTTTGGAGGGAAGCGCTGGTTGAACTCTCTTTGGTTGGAGGTGGATTGCGCTGAAAATTGTACTTGGTTTGTGTGAAATAGTTCAGTTAAAACTAAATCTTGGTGATTCATTTTCTTTACTCATCGAGTGTGTTAAAGCTGCTCTCAAGATCAGTGTTCAGTTCTAGGCCGGGCAGTCGTTCATTATGGGGAAAATTTACGTTCCTAAAGTAATAGTGGTGTGCTATAACAGAGTTTACGTATGATATTAGGAGATTATTAGAATTTCAAGGTAAGGAGAGTGATATGAGCACAAAATGGTGAGCGTGGATTAAAGCAGGTAACGGGAATAAGAGGAGAGATTAATGTAAGGAACAGTACAGAGACGAGACCTTTGTATTTTAGCAGACCTAAGTGAGTGAGAAATGGGTAACATCACTACCTAGCCGTGTGACCTGGAGTAGCTGGACCCCTCTTATCCTCATTTACCTCATCTGAAAGTAGGGCTAATAATACAAATTGAGCATCTCTAAACTGAAACCTGAAAACTGAAATACACCAAAACCTGAACATTTTTGTGCACTAGCATGATATCAGAAGTAGAAAATTCTCTTCTGACACCTTGGAGTTAAAATGCAGGCAGGCATGGCTGGAGGTGTAGCTAGTAATAGAGGGTGTGCTTACCATTCTTGGGGCCCTGAGTTGGATCCCCAGCAAACACAATGGACGCACACACCCACAAAATACATGCACAATCACAGGTGCATTGAAATTGTTGTGGAAAATTATCTTTTGGCTATGTGTGTATGATATATATAACACAGAAATGAATCGTGTTTAGGCTTTGGTCCCATCCCCAAGATACGTCATTTTGTATATGCAAATATCCCCGAATCTGAAAAATCTGAACTGTGAAAAATTACTGGCCCTACTCTACCTGTGCTATGTGTCACACCAATCCAAAGAAAAAGCCCTTCCTGACCACCTGGGCTCCAGGCCCTCCTCTCTGTTCCAGTCCTTCCGTGGCTGCTGTTTTGAGCCTTGTTTTGTTCAGCACCTTGCCTCACAGAATGGTAGCCCTTTAAGGACTGTTATCCTGCAGGAGAATGTGTTGTACAAGAGTGGATGCAGAAAGTATGTCGGCTTGATTTTCTGTTCATCCAATGTTTGTGCTTTTTTTTTTCCTCCCCACACTGCCCGGAGTCCAGAACCATGTGGTATCAGAGCTATAGTTTTCCACTTCCTAGTGAACAGGTATTGTTATGCCAGCTCTTTCTCAGCTAGAAGTAATATATTGTGAGTGAGTAGATACAGCAGATCCTGTGCTCAAATTTCTATTCATTCAAGGGGTCGGAAGCATTGTGTCTTCTATTTCCAGGCTCTTCCTGACTGTCTACTATTAATGGAATCCCCAGTTTTTCCCCCTTTATACCATCTCTTAGATAGAATTTCACCTCCTCAGACCGAGCTCTGCCTTCAGGATGGGGCTACATTGCACATTTCACCAAAGGACCACTGAGCAGTGTGCCCTCAGTGAAGGCTGGTTGCATGAATACACCTTAGCCACTCGCGTTATGTTGTTTTGTAGATGAGAGGTGTAGATGTCACTCAGACGACTGTCAGCAGTATCTGCCATGTGAGCCCACTGATCAGTGACCTTGGTGAGCAGGTGAGCTCTTCACTGGCAAGAAGAAATTCTCTCTTAGACATCTTCCTGATGCTTTGGCCCCTCCTCAACTTTGCCAGTCCCTAAGCCCCTCCTTTGAACTCCCCTTGCTGTTCTGTCTCTTTCAGACCCACCTGCGGGAAGATCCCTAATGTAAGGACCATGTTGGTTTCTTCATTTTCTTTTACACTCAAAAGCAGGCATTGCTAGGTATTTGCTGGCTTCGCTGTTCTTTTATATGACAGTACTAATGCCATACCCTGCATTCTCAACCCAGTAGGATAGAGGCTATCCGTGGAAACACCAAAATTACAGAACACCTGCATGCAAAAGACTGGACAAACACTGGCTAATGCACTTGTTGTATGGCTGGGACTCAGACTCCTTTTCTCCGGCATTGTAGAAGGTAGGTGAACACTTTTCAACATCCTTTACCTTGCACGGGTCTCAGTCATTTACCCATGGGAATTTGCTATCTCTGGAAAAGCATCATACTAGTATTTGTTATCATTAAAGGAATCTTGTTCCTTAGAACTGAAGTTATCTTCATATGAATGTTTCATATCACTTGGGAAAGTTGGCAAAAATACCACGTACTGTTGCTGCTTTGATTGTTTTGGTTTGAGGAGGCTTTTTTTCAGTGCTGCGTATCACACTCAGGTCCATGCCCATGGCTGGCAAATGCTCTACCACTGAGCTGCAGTCCCAGCCCAGGTGTCATTATTTCAGTTGTTAAAATCAATACAACTCCCTTCATAACATTGATCACCCCAACATGCTGTGCATTTGGTTGTTTAGTTGTTTACTTTCTCTTCCCTCCAATAGAATGTAAGCTAATGTGAGCAGGGAGTTGGTGAGGTTTCTTGGACAGTATTCTGGGCACTGAGAAGACAGCCCGGCACTAGTAAGGGGTGGTAACATTGATCAGGGTGACCTGATCCCCGGACCAGCCCTGGACACAGGGACCATCCTCCAGGACTTTCCTTTCTCAGCTCTGTACCTTGAGATTACTTTCTAGCTCAGACTTCAGAGGGGGCCAAGAATCCATAGAGGCCATGCGCCGCCACCAAGGGCACGTGCATCTGGAGTCAGGCAGACCTGGTGTGGAATTCGGTCTCTTCCTGGTTGTGTGAAGTTAGGGATGTTACCTAACCTCTCGATGCAAGAATTTTCTCCTTTGCCACATGGGTCAATATGGATCCTATACAGTTGACGAGCTAAGTGATTTATCTATAGAGGATCCATATTCTTACTTCATCTGATAGATATCTGTGGATATCTACTGGGGCAGGGCTCTGTGATGGGCAAACCACACAATGTTGCTGGACTCTGTTGGGTCCTGGCCTAGTGGACGAGACAGAAAGATAACCACGTGGGACCAGCTGAGTGGCACTGGAGTTGAGAGAGGGGAGATGCTGGGTGTTGTGAGAACTCAGAGAAGGTCTGTGGTCTGGGGCTTGGGGAAGAAGCCAGAGAAAGCGTCCTGGAGGGAGTGTTGTCTGGCTGAGTCCCATGGGGTGGATAAGAACTGAGTCCTGCCAAGAGCCATCCCGTTTCCAGACTTTGTCATCAGAGACACCATGACCATCACTTCTGTGGGCTCCCTCCTAACCACAGAATGGGGAAATGACCCCATGGTGGCCAACGTGAAAGGGAGAGTCTCTGCCGAGAGCTTCTAAAGTACGTACTTCCTTGCTCTCAGGAAAGATACAGGAATAGAAAATGCCTTTCTGTACTTGGATCTAGCAATGTATGCTTGTCAGTCCTGGAACCAGTGTAGGAGAAAAGGATAGCTTGGACAGATGATCTTTGTGTGACCCACTGATCACATATCATTCCCAGCCTGGGCCCACTCTTCCTCATGACTGGTTTGTCAGATGGTAAACTGCCTTTCTCGTTAGACCTGATTGAGAGAGGTTTTCCCTTAAAGCAAAAGTAGACCTCTGATATGGTGAATAGTGGGGATTTTCCTTGAGAGACCAATATAGTGTTGTGGTTTAAGACACTAGTTCTGATTCTATGCAAGCTTCCTTTCTGCCCAGTTCTCCCACTTGTACTCGCATCATCTTGACACAATTAGTATCTTCACTTATGAAATGGGTTTGTAGTCATTAATAATCCCAATACGTAACTCAGAAAGTTTTGTTCATGTGTGTCCTGTCTGAAATCTCAGTGTTCCTTTCATTTGCATTTCTGTAATGGCCAAAATGCTAACCATTTATTTCTGGGAGTCTAATTTTTTGTTTTTTAAATATATTCTCTATATTAGTGTTCTGTCCAAGGAGTGCTTGGCAAATTTTTTTTTCCATTTTGTAGCTTGTTTCTTTATTGTGTTGCTTTTTTCTTTCCTATGCAAAAGCTTTTTAATTTTGTTTAATCCATTTTTTGATTCTTGGTGTTGTTTTCCAATTGGGATTCTATTCAGAAAGTCCATGCCTTTGCCTGTGTCTTCAAGTTTTACCTATTTTATCTTCTAGCAGATTTTTTCTGTTTAATATCTAGGGTTTTTTGGTTTTGTTTTTTGGGGGGAGTTTGGGGGGATGTACTGGGAATCGAACTCAGGACCTGGATCTTGCCAGGCAGGCACTGTGCCACTGAGCTCAACCCTTGCCCAGTATCTTCTAGGTTTTTTTTATCCATTTTCATTTTAGTTTAGTAGAAGGAGAGAGATACAAGTCTAGATTCATTTGTCTACATGTCCACAACCAGTTTTCCCAGCATCATTTATTAAAGAAGCTATCTTTTCTCTAGCATATGTTTTTGGCCCCTTCATCAAAGATCAGATACCTGAATATGGCTAGGGTTGTTTCTGCATTCTCTAGTGTGTTTCATTGATTGACATGTTTCTTTTATACCAGTACCATGCTATTTTTATTTCTCCAACTTGCTAATGTAACTTGAAGTCCATGATTGTGATGCTTCCTACTTTGCTCATATTGCCCAGGACCACTTTCATTTGCATTTCTGTAATGGCCAAAATGCTAAACCATTCTAGGTCTCTTGTTGTTCCTTACGAATTTTAAGATTGTTTTCTCTATTTCTACGAGGTATGCTATTGGTTTTGATTGGAACTGCATTAAATGTGTACATCTGTTTTGGTAGTATGGCCATTTTGACAATATTGGTTCTGCCTCTTTGGGAACAGAGAATCATTTCCTCTTTTGATGTCCTCTTCAAACTTCTTTTTCCGAGTACTGTAGTTTTCATTTAGAAGTCCTTCATGTCCTTAGTTAGGTTAGTTGCTGCATAATTTCTTTGAGGGTATTGTAAATTGCATTGTTTTCCTAATTTCTTTCTTGGTAGGTTCATTATTAGTATGCAAGAACACTTGATTTTTGTGTGTTGGTTTTATATCCTACTACCTTGCTGAATTTGCTTATTAGTTTTAGGTGTCAGTTGGTGGAATTTTTTGTGTCTTCCGTCTAAGGAATCATGTCACTTCAAATAAGAATAATTTGACTTCCTCCTTTCTTATATGTATACCTTTTATTTCTTTCTCTTGCCTGATTGCTCTGGCTAAAGTTTCAAGTCTATATTGAACAGGAGTGATGATATTGGACGTCCTTGTCTTTTTCTTGGTTTTGGGTAGAATAGCTTTTAGTTGTTCCTCATCTAATATGATGTTGGCAATAGGTTTTTCTTAACTAGCTTTCATCAAATTCAGATAAGGTCCCACTATATATATTTTATTCAGGGTTTTTATCAAGAATGAGTGTTGGATTTTGTCAAAGGCTTTTTCTACATATATTGATGACCATGTGATTTTTATCCTTGCTTCTGTTTCTGTGATGGATTATATTTATTGATTTTTGTATATTGAATCATCTCAGGGATGAAGCCAACTTGGTCATGATATATGATCTTTTTAATGATTTGTTGAACTGCTTCCATGTATCTTGTTGTGAATTTTTGCATCTATTTTTTTTGTTGTTGTTTTTGGTTTTTTTCTCTCTTTTTTTGCATCTATGTTATTAAGGAAATTTACCTGTTGTTTTTTGTTTGTTTTTTTTGTTAAGTCCTCATCTGGTTTTGGAATCAGGGTATTACTACGTTCCAGGAATGATTTGGGGAGTGTCCATTCCTTTTCAGTTTCATTAAAGAGTTTGAGGAGTATTGGCATTAGATCATCACTGAAGTTCTTGGAGAACTCAGCAGTGAGTCTACCAGGTCCTGGGCTTTTCTTATTTGGTAATTTATTTTTTATTTCTGCTGCAATTTCAGTGCCTTTTTTTATTATTCAGGGTTTTTAGATCTTCTTGGTTAAGTTTTGGTAATTCATATGTATCTAGGAATCTACTCATTTCTTCTGGATTCTACGATTAATTGGAATATAGGTTTTCAAGGTAGTTCCTAATAATCTTTTGGATTTAAGTGATACCTGTTGTGATTTTGCCTTTTTCATTTCTAACTGCAGGGATTTAGGCCTTTTTTGGTAATACTGACTAAAGGTTTGTCAATTTTGTTTATTCTTTCACACAAGTAGCTCTTCAATTAATTGATTCTTTGTATTATTTTTTAAGTCTCAATTTCATTGATTTCTGCTCTGATCTTTAATTTATTTCCTTGTAGTAGCTTTGGATTTGGATTGTTCTTGTTTTTCTAGGACCTTAAGGTGCATCGTTAGGTTACTTAATTGTGTTCACTCTTTTTCTGATGTCGGTTAGCATAGGTATAAACGTCCCTCTTCCTTTAATGAACATTTCCCTCAGTGTATCCCTTAGGTTCTAGTATGTTGTACTGGCATTATCATTTGATTCTAGGAACGATCTAATTTCTTCCTTGATTTTTTTCTGTGGCCCATGATTATTCAAGAGTATATTAATTTTCATGGATTTGCATAATATGTGTGGTTTTTCTTGCTGTTGATTTCTACTTTAATTGCATTATTATTTGCTATAATGCATCATATAAGTTCAGTTCTTTTTTATTTACTTAAACATGCTTTATGGGCTAGAATGTGGTCTGATTTGGAGAAAGTTTCATGTGCTGCCGACAAGAATGTATATTCTGTTATTGTTGGGTAGAACACTTTTTAGATGCCTATTAAGTCCATTTGCTTAATGTTTTGATTCAACTCTGATATTTCTTTGTTGATTTTTTTGTCTAGTTGATCTATTTTTTTTGGTACCAGGGATTGAACTCAGGACCTTGCACTTGTGAGGCAGGTGGCAGAACCACTGAACTAAATCCTCGGCCCTAGTTGATCTATTTTTGACAGTGGAGTATTATGTTTCATCTGATCTTTTATATTCAGTAATGTCTGTTGCATGAAGGTGGGTTTGCCAGTTTTCATTACATAAACATTTATAAATGTTATCTCTTCTTGTTCAGTTGTTCCCTTAACCAATATTTAGTGACCTTCTTTGCCTCTTCTGATCAGTTTTGTCTTGAAATGCACTTTGTCTG